AATTTTTTTTTCTTGAAAAAAATATGCCGTTGGGTGTTCCTTCAAGAGTTATTTTCGGCCTATCCTGATGCACACTTGCACCATGCCGCCAGTAAAGGGCTTGCAGCATCAACACATTCGCACAAAACGTATGGGGTGTAAATGAACGGCAATACGATTAGGTAGGGAGCCTTTCAAGCCCAGGTGACAACAAAGTGAGACAATAAGCCTCTTTTTAAATGGATAAGTGGAATAATACGCGAGACTATTTCATTGTTTCACGTTTCTTTTGACGAAGTATTGATTTAATTCGAATGTTTAGTTTATCTATGAGTCTGTTTGTTATACAGGAACTTATTATTATTGTTGTTGCTTCTCCGTCTTTCGTCCACTTCCCTTGAACCCAGGATCTGAAGACGCAAGGGCTGCGGCCAATGGAGGCGCGTGACGTGAAGCGCGTGCACGCGTTGCTGCTGCTCTACCTGCAGCGCTTTCACCTGACGCCAGTGATGGACGAGGAGGAGGTGTCCCATTGGCTGCTGCCGCGAGAAGGCATCATCGACACGTTCATCGTGGAGGTGGGAACACAAAGCCAAGCCGCCACCCCTGATAAGATCTATAATTCACAAACTAAGTTCTGTATCCAGTTTAACACGTAGGCTTTTGAGGCCAATATCCAGGTTGTTTTGGGTTGGATCGCGTAAATATAAATGTGGTGTTAAACCCGCCACCATCCGACACAAACTTGACTAATTGGCTGTCGGGTGTTGGCGGGTTTAACGACACATTTAAATGTACGCAATCTAAAAAAAAAACCTGTTAATGGAGAATTCTGTATCTGCTAACGTGTTTCACTTGTAACCTTTTCCTGCGAGCGCAGAATCCTGAATCAAAGGAGATAACGGACTTCCTGAGCTTCTACACGCTCCCTTCCACCGTGATGCACCACTCAGTGCACAAGACTCTGAAGGCAGCTTACTCCTTTTACAACGTGCACACCAAGACGCCACTGCTGGAGCTCATGAACGACGCGCTAGTCCTGGCCAAATCGGTGAGATAGAGGAGTGTTTACAGGCTTTGTATTTTATTACAAACAGCAACTACCCTATGCTATATTCTTGGTTCTTTCGGTAAAGGCACGTAGAAGGGAAATAATAATATAAAACAAAAAACATTTATATTTTTATTATTTCCCTTCGTGACTTTACCGAAAGAACCAAGAATATGAATCCCTGCAGTCACGAAAGCTTTCAATCAATACTCTATGCTAGTTTACCAAATACAGGTCCATCTCCGTCGGTTTTTCCTTTCTGCAAACAAACGATATAACCCATATATTAGTGTATTTGACTTTAAACTCGATTCCTTGTAATACTAAATCGATATGATAAAAATATGAAGTTACATCATACTGGTGTTTGGTTTATTGTAACACTTAGTCTTAATGTGCTGTTTAACCAAATGTGTTATGAATGATTGTTTTAAAACTGTGTCTCTCCACACTTTTATGATCTTATAAATAACCTTTACCATCATACAACAGAAATTTAATGCATTTTACTGATATGAGTGCTGCTCAGTTGAAGATGGAAACGGTTTGAAAGATTTCTAAGCTTGGCTTTAAGCTTTCGTGACTGCAGGAATTCATATTCTTTGGGTCTTTCGGTAAATTCACGTAGATAGACCGCTTGTGTTGTGATCGAAACGTCGTAGTTTTTTGTTATTTTCTTTGAACCTATCTACGTGACTTTACCGAAAGTCCCAAAGCATATTTCTAGGCTTTGTGTGTTGCTGGCCTCTGGAAATTCTATACTGTAACTCCCTCCACACCTTGTCTCCCTGCAGAAAGGGTTCGATGTGTTTAACGCGCTAGACCTAATGGAGAACAAAACCTTCCTGGAGAAGCTTAAGTTCGGCATTGGTGACGGCAATCTGCAGTATTACCTCTACAACTGGCGCTGTCCCCAAATGGGGCCCGAGAAGGTAAATCATCAGTTAGCATCTTTACAAAAATAATTAGTGATTGCCTAGGTCTGACTCCTCCGTTGTATTTGTAAATTCAAGTTGCTGAAGACCAGTCTAGACACCGGTAATGAGTTCGCAAATTTAGTAGGACTTGGAATGAAGATGCACAGTAGTTTGTGTGGAAAATCTCGACTTTCAGCTTCAATCTAGTCTGGGCTGCTGATTTTAACCATGGCTGATGGGGTGGTGGTTGTCTAGTCATTACATTTCCTAAGTGTATGATGGAAATTTCGATTTCATACCTTAGTCTGGATGCTTAGCAAAGTTAAAGAACATTGGGGACTGTTGTTGCTTTATTGCGGGTCATAGTTTTCAAATTCCATAATACATTGGTTGACAATAAGATATTATTTTAAAACGGTTCGTTTTACCTGAGATTATTAGATTGGTTAATTTATATGTGATTGTATTCAATTACATATCAGTTCACATATCACTTGATATATGACAGGGTTGTCTGGCTTGACCCCACCTGCATGTGAACTTGTAGTTGATCTGCATCTACATCAGACATGCAAAAGAAGCTTTAAACTCTCTGAAAACAGCAATATCAAAATCATTGTTTTGATGAGTTTGCGAGCGGATGCCTATTCGCACGATTTGCATCTTGACGTTCACCAGTGGTGTGATTTGAATTTGAGTGCAACCTGTTTTTATTTTGCCCTTATACAGGTGGGCCTCGTTCTGCAGTGAAAACTTGAGGAATTCCTGAGAAGCCAGAAGACCTAATGGAGAAATGTATGCTGTTCCGCAGCAGTCCGACTCAGTGCAGTAATTTGACTATGGACAGCTTCATCATTAAACACAAGGAGGATGTATGGGGGTGTGGAGCCCAGTTATGGTGTTTTACAAGTGAAAATCTCATAGGAGCCATACAATTTGGTAATCCAGCAAATACGGGTGGTGTTTAAACAAGACATATGGCCTTGAATAAACACTGAATACAGTATGTAATATGGAATACCATTGCTGGGATTAGTGTCATAAACATGAACATATTGAAAGGAAAACTGTTGTGAACAATTTAATTAGGCTTGATATTTTATCTGCAGAATGGAAAATATGGCATTTTTACAGATGTGTAAACAACTTTAAACATTTGTTGCATTTTAAAATTGCCTGACTCAGTGTTGCCCTGTTTTTTTTGTACAATTTCTAAGTTCTAACACTGTAAGAAATTAAATCCTGAGCTTACTTTATTGAGCTTGCATATACAGACTGCTTAGTTCCGTGCAGCTGGGGGGCTAGACATATTTATTATTAAATACTTTGCAATGACATGACAGATGCTGAATTGTACCATTGTCGTTGGTAAAGTTGGTAACTGGTAATTTAGCAGGACAGTATTCAAGTTTGGGTTTCAAAAAATTGATTGACCTTACGAGCAATACTGAAGCGCTTTTGACGAGTTATCGCACACTACCCACAGGCAGCGCGTCATGTCATCACTACAACTCTGCTGAGATTCCCTTGATATAAACGACATGAAAGCAGATATATGGGCACACCACAAACAGTTGCCTAACATTCACATAACTTGGTAATCTTTAAATTGTATAGCCTTAGCCCTAAGATATTAACATCCATTGCCATGTGACAGCAATTGTTAAATACTCATTGCTGTATCTTACTTGGGTAATATATCGATTCAGCGGCAGATCCCAGGGGGTTTTGAATTGAACTCCAATACAGTGTTGTGTTGTCCAGCTATTGATAAAATGTATACCTAAGGGCTGATACAGAAAGTTCAGGAGTGAGCGTTGATTCGAGAGCATTTTGAGTTTTTGCAGAGGTTTAAAAGTTGGAATCCCCCCCCCACCTGCCCTGGATCTGCCACATCAATAAATGCAATGTGGTACGTAACAAAAGCAAGATGCATTGTGGGGTGTCGGTGTTGTGCAGTGTGTGCACTGAATGAACGTGTCAGGGCAACTTTACTGGGCAATAAATTCCAGTGAGCTAGTGGACTGCCATACTTTGCCGATTCCATTTTACACCCAACAATCACTACACCGAATACTCCTATGTAATCATTTTAAGGCAATTGTTTATTGCCTTGCTGTTATTATTCACGCTTGTAAATGTGGTGGAAATTCCTGCCCTGTAATGCAGCGCCATTGGTGGCAGGATGAAGATTGGCATTGGACAGGAAACCAGAATGCACTGCAGCATTGGTTGACATTTTACATTTTTTACGTCATCCAAAGGTTTTTTGGGTAAGATCGCGTAAATGTGTCGTTAAACCTGCCACCACCCGACAGCTAACTAGTAAGCGTTGTTACGTAACAACGTGCCAATTCTTATTACTACAGCACACCGGTGTTTTAAAAAGCCAAGCCACAACATTTACAATCGGATTCCGACATTTTGTCAGTAATTGCAACTCGCTTCATCAGGCGACAGCCAGATTTTTTACGTCTCTGCGTGTGCATGGGTTGTTATGCAGGTGCAGTCATGTAATTTGCACGGGTGTAATATTAAACCATTTGGGCCAATTAATACCCCGATTTGCGCGCCCACTCACGTGGTTTTGCAGACACCGTACGGTGTCACTTGATGGATACAACGACCTGATTTGCGTCGCCTCCACCCCCACACGCGTCACTGACGGCATCCACCCTCTCGCATCCGTCGCCTCGGCCGCCACCTAGCCTGTAGATTGCCTTGATTGACGTTTCGATATTCGTCGTCGCACATTTGAGGAACGCATCCCCGACGTTCAGGCGGCCTTTTACTGTTATACCGTTAAGGAAATTCTTGAAAGTGCTTGCTACCCCGTCATGTTTTCCTGAATGAATGACAATGTGGTTTGACAGCAGCAGCGTGACCCTGCTGAAAGCAATGCACCACGCAAGCTGCCTTCAGTTGGGCAACTTTTGCTTTGATGCCAATGAGTTCTGCTCTAGGTTTTTGTAAGTTACCCGATATGGAATTTTTTTTAAAGGGTTGGGTATCCCACTTAGTAACGTATTAATTTCAACAACGCAATCCGACGGTGCATTTAGACAGCAATTTATTACATTAGCACTTTCACGGCAACATATGCAAATGTACAGCTTACAACCATTGTCAACACAGATTAAATACAAGGGTATTTTCCAAGCATATCAAAATAAGTTGTGGATCGACAGTCTCAAAGCTGACTTTACTAAGGAACGCGTCTCCGATTTGAAAATCACACGGATGATGTTAAAACTGGTTAGTGAAAACCATTCAACTAAATAAAAACTTACGCTCAAACCATTTCTCTAAACTTTAAATTAGAACGCAGTTTAGGTGGCAGTGGTTTCTTGTTGGTAAAAAAAAAACTTGCGCAAAACCAGTCCACGTTCTATCGTGTAAACAGTACTTTGGCAGACGCGTTGTACGTTGCAATTATAATATTTATTTGCGCGCACTTGAACTTAATTCAATTCGATGTTGTATAACAAGGCGCTTCTCCAACTAAGTAATCCCCCACTTTGGCGGCACGGGATGAACCCCGCTGTCCGCCTCGAGTGAAGCCATCCCGCCGGGTTCGCTTCACACAACCACAGCGGTGCGCGGGGTGGGAAATCCCAAACTCGGGACCTCAACTCCTCTTGCGCTTCCTGCGAGCGGGGTTCGACACGATCTTCTTCACGTTCGACGGCATCAAGCGGCACGCACCGACCGCGACATCCACGCCCGTCCCAGCGCCGGGCGCCTCGCCGCTCAGCAGCCAAGGCGCACGGAGCGGCGGCAGCCTCCGACCGATTATCTCGGCGGCCTTTGCGAGCCTCGGTGCGTCCCTCCGCACCCCGAGCGCCAGCACGGAGCGCAGCCCCAGCAGAGGCGCCACGGCGGCGCTCAGCGCTCCCAGCTGCGCTGCAGACACCGCGCGACTTGCGCACAGCGAGGCCAGGAGTCGCGGCAGCAGCGGAGGACGCGCGGTGCCGCACACGAGCACCAGGCTCAGCTCGTCACGCTCCAGCCCGCGGATCACCTCGTTCACGCCCAGCGCCACCTCTCTGCGCACGGACGCGTCGCTCCAGCCACCGCGACGGGGGCCAGCCGACAGCCCTGCGTCACCCGAGGTCTCGTCTGAGACGACTTTGGCGTGCGCCTCCTCGTTCGCGTCGTACACAGACTTCGCCTTGTCCATCCTCGACGCTGGAGTTTTGTCAGTCTTACCCTCCCCCCTCCTCCTCCTTCACCGTCCTGTTGACGCTATCTTCATCCACCGCTTTCTCCTTCATCTCCGTACTGTCATCGTCCACGCTCGACCCTAGATTGTCCACCATCGCGCACTCAGCCCTGCCGCCCACCTCCATCTTCTCGTCGCCCCCCTTTAGCCCCTCGCCCTCCATCTTCTCACCCGTCGCCTTCCTCCTCTCGCTGGCTCCGTCTCCCCTCTTTGCCCGGCGCTTCCTCCCCCCGGCGTCCCCGTGCCGGCCCTTGGCCCTGCCGAGGCCCGCGGCGCCGAGCGCCTCCCTCAGCTCCTCCACGAGCTCCTCGCCCAGGGTCTCGTCCAGGAGAGGCCAGGCCAGGTGGAACGGGTCGCCCAGGGCCGCTTTCACCCGCGCGGGCCGCTGCCTCGTGGCCTTAGCCGCCATCGCCTCCGCGGAGTCTCGGGGTAGGGGGCCGAGGACACGGAGAAGACGGCCCCGGCACGGTCGGTGCTTGCTGAGGCTGCGATGCGGTGCACCCGTGGTCGGACTCCAACTGAGACGCACGTGGCCTGGGAGCCCACGTGGAGCTGCCGGTTCCGCCTTCTCCCCACGAGCGATTCGACTCCGGCGATTCCGGAAATTATTAACCGCAGGAATCGATTCCTGTTCGATTCGAGTCTCGTTCTGCAGTGCCCGTGTTTGTTGGACGGTACTCTCTATGTACTCTCTATGTGTGTGTGTGTGTACTGCCTCGCCCGTACTGCCTGAAATAATTGATTCTTGGCACTATTTGATTACAGCGTACACTTCTAGATTTTAAGCTTTCGTGACTGCAAGGATTCATACTCTTAGGTTTTTTTCGGTAAAATCACGTAGGAAAAAAATAAATTTAAATTAATAACATTAAATTAATTATTATTATTTTATTTCTATTATTAATTTTATTTTTTACAGCCGATGCATGTGCTCAACCCTTCTTAGCAATACACAATAATACAGGTTTTTGGGTTATATCGCGTAAGTATAAATGCGTCGAACCCCTCCACCACCCGACACAGCCAATTAGTAAGGGATTTGTCACGTAAACAAAACGCCAAGTAGTTACTACTTTCAGCCCACCGGCGTGTTGGAGATTAAATCCACAACATTTACAATTTGAGTAGTACGATGTTTCGCTGGTAATTTCATCCAGCATCATCAGGCGATTTGCCAAATCTAAACGTCGTCCACTACTCAAATTACCGACTAATCACCCAGAAATGTCTGTCCGTCCCGCGCGTGACGTCACTCCATATGAGCCCCCCACCCCGCGTGACGTCACCCCACATGAGTGGTGGATTTTTACGCTAACGCAGAGGAAGGTCGAGCTGAATTAAATAATTGATTACGCAAATTCGCTTTAAATATGACGACGTTTCCTTACAGAAAGTGACGGTAAAAAATTAATCTACGTAGCACAGTGCTACATCCGTGCGTGACGTCACTGCAAAACAGCCCCCCCCCTTCATTAATATTCATGCCCGCAGGTAAATTTGCACTCACGCACAAGAAGGTCGTGCACTCCACACACCGCATCCCTCCGCTCATTAATAATCATGAGCGGGTGACGTAACTCCACATGCCGCACCCCTCCACAATAACCATGAGGGAGTGACGTCACTCCACATGCCGCACCCCTCCACAATAACCATGAGCGGGTGACGTCACTCCACATGCTGCACCCCTCCCCAATAACCATTGGCGGGTGACGTCACTCCACATGCTGCACCCCTCCCCAATAACCATGAGGGGGTGACGTCACTCCACATACCGCACCCCTCCCCAATAACCATTAGCGGGTGACGTCACTCCGCATGCTGCACCCCTCCACAATAACCATGAGGGAGTGACGTCACTCCACATACCGCACCCCTTCCCTCATTAATAATCATGAGCGGGTGACTTCACTCCACATACCGCACCCCTCCCCAATAACCATTAGCGGGTGACGTCACTCCACATGGGGCACCCCCCTCATTAACAATCATGAGCTGAACAATTTTCTATGGAATATTTCAGATTTACTGCAATATACAACCGTCCTTGGACGGGCAAAAAATGTTGTGGATTTACTCTCCAACACGCCGGTGGGCTGAATTAGTAACTAATTGACGTTTTGGTTACGTGACAAATTGCTTACTAATAGGTTGTGTCAGGTGGTGGAAGGTTTCGACACATTTATACTTACGCGATCTAACCCAAACCCCTTTATTCGGGGCCATCCATTTAGTAGGTACGCAAACCTCTGTCAAAACTTGACCCCTCCCCCCCTCCATGTACGCACACGTACTTTTTACACCCCCTCCTCCCACCTGCGTACGTACGTCTGACGCCCCCCCCCCCCCCCCCCGCCCGAATCCTATAGAACGGCCGATATTTAATCCATGCAGAAACGATCAAGGATGTTTAATATTAACGTGGTTAAGCAAACAGATAGTCCACCGCCGGACTATCGAACTCATCTGAATGCCAATGTAGACACATTATTATCGATGCTTCACCCCCCCCCCCCTGTTTCCTCCTGCGTACATTGTCAGTAGACCCCCCACACGCAAGCATACGCATTTGGGTTAACCCCCCCCCCGCCCCCCTACATGCGTACTGTACTGAATGGATGACCCTTTATGAATAATATTGGTCGCGAAATCCTACGTGTTAAACCTTCTGAAGCAAGGTAGGGGGGGGGGGGCATTCCCACATTCCTGGTGACGGGAGACCAGCCTATCCATAAACAAATCGACCGCCGTTAGTTCCCCACAAAATGGTATGTATTTTATTCACCCAGAATTATGGGCTGAGTCGACCCCCCCCCCCGCCCAATGGGATCTAACCGTCGGGCGTGAACTCGACGACCAGCAGCAGCTGAGAGCTTTGGCAGCTGCACCGAGAGTCCAAATCATCGTTGTGGCAGGAGGCTGTCACAAAGGGGCTCCATGTGTCATCACACCACGATTGTAGTCTGCCAGCAAGGGGGTGCGGGGCGATCTAGCAGTGCGAGTTTATATAATACAGTCACGTCTACTGCTAACACCACACCGACACCCATGCGAAATATCACGGTTGTCTATATACGGTGCGAAATAAGTTCAGTATGTATGTCTATGCCTTACGCAATACAACAATTGGCAACCACGCCAGTGGAGTGGGGGTTTTTTGGTGTTCACAAGTACTGATTGTGATTCAGCCAATGTGAATGCATTGCCAACACGATGCAATTCGACGGACGAAACTGCTCAATTGAAAGTCGGTGCTGCGTTGCCAAGCACGGTTAAGTTCGTGGTTCCAGTATTCCGTGGGTGCCCATTCTTTGTCCGGTTCACGTTGCGTTGGGCATGCTGGGGGGATTTTTCTTTGGCTCTCGTGTTTCTGCTTTGCCACGCGTGGGCGCAGACTTTGCACCGTCTGCGTAATGCAAATTAGTGCTTTCTTTTTTGATACTTTATTTAATTCCCGCACGAAATACAAGCAGGAGGTGGCGAGTCAATAGACGTAGCCTTGATCGTTATTCGACAAAGCGCCCCACAAAAAGAGATGCCCGTTGCTGAACTTTACCCTTTAACGTCTCAGCTCTTAGAGGAGACTTATGTAGGCTTGGTTATCATCGCCATGCGACCCAAACTGTGGGCCATACAGTAAGCCACTGCAGTGTGTGTTCTTTCAATGGAGGAACAGTGCGATGACACGAACTCTCTCTCTCCTGAAGCCCCACTGTGGCTGGAAAACCTCGACATTGGCATTTAAACTCCTGAAACATCTCCAATCTACTGCTGGATAGCCTTTCCAAGCCACCGCCACCTCTCGCCTTCCTGCGATGTATAATCCAACGAGCACCCAGCACATGAATGAATTGCATCGCTCCATCTCGGTGGACATGCAGTTTTACGATATATAACCTGAAAAGTCACGTAAGTTTGTGATGAGTGTTGAACCGAAAACCAACAGCCTTTTGTTGATTTAATTTATTTGCTATTGTACTATTAACTTTATTCAGCATTGTTTTTTTATGTTTACATTACTCTTTTCTGCAAACAATCCTTCAAAAAACATAGTTCCGATTTTTTTGCAAACGTTTTATTTGGTGAAATGATACTGCATTGCCACTGGTGCACAATCACAATAAATACTAATTTGTCAATAACACTGTGGCCTTAAAATTTTAAATTATATAATAGGTGACGTTTGGGGCAATGGGCCTTCATCACACATTTGAAATGTGTTTTCTTTTAAGGCAGTTTTACTGACGAATGTGCTGATTACACTATGTAACACGATTTTCGGGTAGTGTCATGTTTTAATTGCTCATGCCAAAAAATATAAAATGGCTGTTATTCCCCATAAACTTTGCTTTGTGACCAGGACTTTACGTGAAGGAATGACACAAATACGTTTTCTCATTGAAAATCGGTAAATTTCAAAAGATCACTGTCCTGGTCACAAAAGCAAAGTTTGTGGGGAATAATAGCCATTTTCTGTACTTTTGAGGCATAAGCAATTAGAAGATAACACTACCCAGGAACACATTTTTTCGTTCCACAGTGTTATTTCAGTGAACATCGACGTTTCCATAAAACAAAGTATTTGACATCTCATTTGTTTTTACTGGTAGGAACCACCTGGTTCCACCAGCCCACAGAGGACTATTGTGTCCGTCCGTCGTGCATCCAAAAATTGGAGGGGTGGGGCTGGGTGGAGAGGGTGAGGCTGGGTGGGGAGGGGCTGGTCACCCCGTGGTGCCCTTATAAAACTCAACGTTTAACCTACTCACGCCGGCTTGTGCCCGCCCTCACAATCGGCCATATTTGCGGAATACCCCACGCCACCGTTGACCCTGGCCATTGACCGAGCAACCCAACGTTCCTACCAGCTCCTTCCGCAGGAATGTGTCACTTTCGCTATCCCACCCCTATTCTGAACCACGCCATGCGTTATTCCACTGCTATTGGACTCCAATGCTGCAACCCC